TTCTGTCACAGAAAACTGATGTGTGTCTGCTGAAATTTTATATGTATGTAGTTTTGTTGGCACAACTGTAATAAAATATTGGAACATCTGGTTGTGATCTACAGCAATTTTTTCAGTTCCATCTAAAGGATTAATAATTCCTGGAACAAGTTCTCCAAAAGACAAATGATCTATCCTGTGAGAAAAGTTGTAAGAGTCATGGTTGACAAGTGCTGCCAAGTGTGCGTGACCACGAGGATGTGGAATTGCCTTGCCCACAGTTATGTGAAAATTTCCGGCTACTTTATTGACATAAAGGTGACCACGAATTCTGCAGGCATCTGGAGACTGTGATGAATCATCTTCTCTTGGTGGAAGTGCTGTCGATGCACTTTTAAAAGCACTTTTAAATATCACGTCTTGAAGAGAATGCTCTTCTTGTAGCCTGCTCTGAATAAGCTGCAACATCCTCTGCCACTCTTTTTGCTGTGGTGAAAGATCAAATATTGCTGGCTCATAAACTAGACCATCTGCAGATGCAACCATTGTTTCTGCCAAATCCAATACATCTGCTCCAACATACTGACACTTCATGGCAACGGTGATATCTATGTTGATTCTCAATTTACTAGAAAAATCCTTGTCTACTTCATATTCATACTTCATCCATGTGTCTTGATACACTGAGAATTCCATTATTGTTAATAAAGCCATAGTGGTAAATGCTATTAGAGAAACTGTGCCCCCACTGGCTGAAGTCTCCACATAGCTCTGAGGAACCTTAGGAAATGCATCCAATTCTTTCACCAAATTTAAGGTTTTCTTCCGATTCAGTCGCCTCATCTTCAGGAAAACCTTCCTCTTTCTTCATATAGTCATGCAATTTAAAACTCCGTCTTCTATCCTGAGATTATTTCTTTCTTATTTGCATCAAAATGTCCTTTCCTTGTGTTACGGTCCCAGACGGCCGCCATATTTCACAGAAGCCCGGGCCGCCGGGTTCCGGAGTCCAGTGCATGACTTTTGGGGGACAGAAAACATAATACCATTTTTGAAATACCAAGCCTAAAATAAAATAAAATAAAATATCAAGCCTTACCATTGATGAACATAGAATGTCTTTCCATTTCTTCAGGTCTCCTTCTTATTTCTTTCAATAATGCTTTTAGTTCTTTGTGTAAAGTCTCTCATGTTTTTGGATAAATTTGCTCTAAATATTTTGCCTTTTTTATACTATTTTAAATGGAATTGTTTTCTTAATTTCCTTTTGCATCATTAGTGTATATAAATACAGTGGGTTATACTTACCTGTCCTGATACCAGCATCACAAAGGTGGTTTTACTAGGGCCAGGCATAACCATTGCACACAAGATATGCTGACCTCTGTGAATTCCCCAAATGTAGAAAATTAGACTGCATAATTTGTAGTAATGGGGAGATGTTCTCACTCCCCCCCAAAAAAACCCCAAAACAAAATGGGTTTTTGTGTGTTGATTTTGTACACTGCCACTCCAGTTAAGACTCTTTTTGTAGAGACCAAAATGTATTCTGTTGCCTGGTCTGAAAATTTAGAAAAGTGAATACATTCTGTGTCTCACTTTTTCTCACTGCTGAGACAAAATACTCAACGCCCAAAGTTAAAGGAGGAAAGGTGTATTTTGGCTCAAGGTTGTAGAGGTTTTAGTTCATAGCTGGCCTGCTCCAAGGCACAGCAGTATGGCAGAGGGGCATCACAGAAGGCAAGCAGCATCAGAAATAAGTGACAAGCAACAAGAGACAAACCACAACTCTTTCTGTCCACTTACATCTTATCCAAGCTGACTGCCCTTGGGTTGAGCACCGCTCACACCTTAAATGCTTGCAGCACACTGTGAATGAACCCCCGCATCACCTCCTTGAGCTCCACAGCACAAACCCTAGCTCCAGCTCTGGAAGGTCCCACTTCTGACTGCATGAGGCTTTGGAGGTCAGCTATACACAAGCCACAGCATACCCCCTGCTCTTTGTTGACATACACTAAACTGAATTCACCCAAATATGCTGAGCCCAGAGCCCTATTATTTATTATATCTATTATGTTCTTTATTTCAATTATTTAATTTTCAAATAATATTGTACTTGATTCTTTGTTAAAACTTTGTGTTTGTCATGCACTAACATCTTCATTTATTACCTCAAGTTCAATTTGTGATGTTAATTCTAAATTTATGGTTGATGTGTTCTAATAATTCTGTTTGAGATGAAATGCATTGTATTTTCAATTTTCTTATCTTTCTTTTATGCAAGTGTCACATTCCTCAAATGTTTAGTTATTTTAGCTTTGGAGATCATGCTATTCTGGCTGTGGTAAGTACTCTAACTGGAAATAAACACTGGAGAGCTATCTTAGGTACTTTCTTATTGCTGGGACAAAATACTAGACATTCAAAGTCAAAAGAGGAAAATTTATTGTAACTCACAGTTTGTAGAAGTTTTAGTTCATAGTTGGCTGGCTGCAAGTCAGTATGACAATGCGGAGGGATGTGGTAAAGGCAAGACAGTCCATGTTAGGGCAGGCAGGAAGCAGTGGGAACTCCTTTCCCTTTTTTTTTTTTTAATTTTATTTATTTATTTATTTGTGTGTGTGTGTGTGTGTGTGTGTGTGTGTGTGTGTGTGTGTCCAGCTCAGCCCACCAGGGGGCGGGGCTGGCTGGCATGTGGTGCTGGGGGATTGAACCGCGGTCCCTGTGTTTTGCTAAGCTTGTTCTACGTAGGTGCTTTAGACCACTGAGCCATCTCACCAGCCCCCTCCTTTCCCTTTTATCCCATCCAGGCGACAAGCCTATAGAGTGGTGCCACCCACACCCAGGGGCAGGCCTTCCTATTATTCCCAACCAGAACTATGCTAAACCAATCAATGGACTGTCCAGCTATCACCCCTTAATCCAATATCACACACTGATGTCACACATGATGCAGCCACTCCCCAAAGCCCCACCTGGGAGTGCATGACACTTTGGGGACACATTAGACATAAACCATAACAAGGGCCAGAGGCCAAGATGAATCTATTACAATACCCATAGTGTAAGGAATGGCAGTATGTCTCAGATACTGCTGTACATGACCATCATCATGTGGAATCTACCACTGTTAAACAGAAAGGAGCACTGAAAGGTCACAACTTCCCTGGATTTTTCGTTAACAATCTTTGTATTTTAAGGATATGGAAAAAAATAAATTAGCATGCTCAGAAAGCTGGTCTATACCTACCTATCTCCACCACTTCGTCTACCCCAAAGGGCTTTTACATAGCATTGCTGTTTCCTTCCAAACACATCAACAAGAATCTACACATGTGCTTCTGGTTTCTGGGGTAAACAAAAAAATAACACTTGTCTTGCAATGCAGCGGAGAGAAAAGATCAGGTTTTAAGTCTTTCACCCAACTTTTGTCACTGAAACTTCAGACGACTTTCCTATCACCAGCTACATCCACACATCTCCCCCTCCCATTCTAAAATAGCCACAGACCCCGCACTTCTCCCCTCTGCTTTCTAACTGCCATGCCGTGAGTAGTTTTTCTCTGCCGTGCTGTTCTGCTATGCCACATTTGCCTTCAAATCGAACATGGACTGGATGGATCCATTGAAAAAGTAAACCAGAATCAACTCTCACTTTAAATGTTGGTTGGTGAGTATTTTGTCCCAGTGATGGAAAAGCAATTAATACAGCTAACATAGCAGGTGTGTGATGAAATTGTTCACCTCATAACTCAGACAGGAAAGAGAGAGTGTGGGGAGCAGCTGGAGCTGGACATTGATCACACATGCAGGGCTAATGCAAGGCCATTTTCAAGAACACAGAGTGCTCAAGGTGGGCCATGTGAACAAGCTACTTGAGCCCTGAGAACATGGAGAGCCCCAAAGCAATCCAAGCAAATGGGTCGCTAGCAGAGGAGTGTCGTGTGACATCAACCTGCTGAGTGTAGAAATACACATGCTGAGGTCCTTGAGCAGTTCCTTTTTCTCCTATCAGGAAAGAGAGCACTACCTGACCTCAGCTTTCTGTTCTCTGACTCTTGTCTTTATTTCTTCATCCTCCACAGTCCTTCACCCCAAGAATTTGAAGAGCTGCACTGGACTCAGCAAGAGGGACAGTGGTGGCATCCCACTCTCTAGTGCATGGCGAGTAAGATTTGCCTCAGGTTGTCTGCATTGCAGGTTGAACGAAAGAGAAAAAGAAGTTGGATCTTTGTCTTGTTCAGTCACCACAGGGGGCTATGGAGGAGGGAGGGGTGTGATCTCAAGGCAGCTGGCAGTTGTGGAATTTCCTACATTTGCACCAATCACTGGGCTCTAGGCTTTAACCTTGGAATTTAAAAACCTTCATCAGGTCATGGAAACTGATTCATATGTTTGAAATGTCAAGTTCCTTGATTCACAAAATGACAAAAGCAGTGCCAATTTTATCTCAGTGCTGTTAGGCCTGTATGAGCACAAATATGAAACTAGATTTAGTAAGAGGCACCAACTGGAATTCAAATGAATAAGATTACATCTACTTTGTAATCCACAGCACAGGTACTGTGATGGACCAGACTAGTTCGTGTGATAACCTGGGTCTTGGTTCCTTTGTGCCAGCTCTGCGCTTGCCTGTTGTTTTTCTCTATCTGTAAACTGCAAAGCCATCCCAACCTCTCAAAAGCCTCAAAATCTTTGAACCTCATAAGAAAATAATTTGCAGGCCAGGGATATACCTGGAACCCTGGTATGTGCAAGGTCCTGAGTTTGATTCCCAATACCACAAAAAAAAAAAAAAAGAAAGAAAGAAAAGGAAAGAAAGAAAGAGAGAAAGCCACTTGCATCTTTTTTTTTCTCTTTGCCTCTCATGTGAGTTTAGGAGTTCCAATATATGCATCAGGAAAGATATTACCTAAACATGTTACACTATTATGTTTTAAAACTAGAATACTGCAATTGAAAAAATTCTTCTTATAACTTATCTATAACTTTATTCATATGTGTATCTCCATCTTCTCTATTTCTGTATCTATCTCTCTTTCCTCAAATGGTGACAGGTGCTTGCCTAGCCTTTAATAAAAAATAACTATTTAAACTTTGCCCTCCCCATTGCTCCACTCAAAAAATAGCCATTGTGAAATGACAGCATTGATCTGGTACTAGCAGAAGAATGACTAACAAGTAATAGAAATGGCTCTGTTTTATCTTTATTAAACTAAAAAGTGTTCCACATAAGTGGCTAGGAAACAATTTACATTACTACTAGCTCTTCATAGAAAAAAAAGTTCTGAAAGGCTTCATATAGGAGAGGGGCTTTTTGGGCAAGGGTGTATAGGTTGGTGATTTGGGCTCAAAAAGAATAGAAATTGCACTTATCTGTGCCAGATAAGTTAGAGGGGGCTGGTGAAGTTTTGCTCTTGCTTCTGCTTTGCATGGCCGTGGATGAGCCGCTCCTCTCCTCAATCTGCCAGCAACTTAAGTTTTGAGTCCAGGTGAACATACCAGAAGCATCGAGGCAGGGACAGCAATGCTGCTTGTGAAGATCAGACAAACAAAGGTTAAATACATGTGAAATATTGGTGAAATTAGTATAAACTCCAGATGGTTTCCTCTAGCCTGATTCTGTAGTCTTTTTATAAATTGCTGTGCAACACTTGTCTTGGTTCATTTTGAACCAAGATTTATAATGGTCAGAAATTTGTTGGCTAACAGTGGAGTTCTGGAAGCCCTAGTACATTCAATATTGAGGTCCTGTGTTAGGAAAAGACTTTCTGTGTTTTTGACAGGAGTTATCATATAGCAAAAGACAAAAAGGGGGATCGAAAAGAAGGGAAGAGGAACAAGGAAAGGAAACACAGGGGGAGGCAGAGAGAAAAAGCCCACCCTCCTGTAATAACTCAGTGGCCTTCTCTGGAATGCAACTCATCTATACCCATCTGTGGCGCCCACAGGACTTGGAGAATATGAGGAATGGATGTGGTGTTCCAGGCT